TTATAAATTTTAAAAAGATATATGTCTCACTTTCATTATTTTTAAGAGCGATGATAAAATCAAGCACCTTGATAGTATTTATCATCACTTTGATACTATATAGTATATCTGTGCTTGTTTTATCATAGCAGAGTTTTAATAATTATAAAGTTCAAGAACGTATCTAAAGTCCAAATCTAAGAATGGAGTATATGATAATCCTTAAATATTATTTTTTATGATTAAAAAAATAGAAATTTTGCTTTTTGCTCGCTTGAAGAAAAAAAAAAAGATTTACTTCTCTCAATTAGCTGACTCTATTTGTGTATTAAGAATAAATAATAAATAGAATTTCAAACAAAATAAAAAAACTTTTAAATCATAAAGATGGTCAAACATAAATTTTAATATAATATTTATATTATTTAGAATTTTACACTTAAAAAGACAGAAGATACACGTGCAATGCACGTGCCGGGAAATTAGTATATATATAGACACACACACTTCGTTGTACTACTTTAATTATATATAGCTTGTTATAGTATATGTTAGTGTATTCATTATTTGTAAAAGTATTAACGGATTACAGTTATATTATTTAGATAGTAAATATTAATGTGATTCAAAACTTTGACCATATTTAACCTATGAACCGACCGGAGTTGGTCGGTTATTTTTCAAAAATTACATTTATCGAGCAACATTAGTCGGTAAAATCTTCCCCAGCAATAACTGACCAACTTTGGTCGATAAATTTAACTAAAAATTTTATAAAATATTTTAAATAATAATATAATTATTTAAATTTAAAAAAGCGAGTCCACATTATCGATCAATGTTGGTCATTAATTAAAAAGATGCTTTGACTAAACAAGTCCGACCAATGGGTCAAATGTTTGACAAATATACCCACCAAAATTAGTGGGCATGTAATGTATATCTAATGTTTGTTAGTACGAGGCCGTAACCATCATAGTTATCTGAATTATTGACCCTAACGACCATTGATATTGAGATTTTCTTCCACCAGCTTATGCTAATGGTTTCCATCTATCGAAACTCCAAAATTTTGTAAATTTCTTTGAACCTTCCTTTAAACTACAACAAATTTTGTTATCCTTTCCTATCTCACCAATATAAATAGCCATGCACATGCAAAGTCAAGATACACAATAAACAAGCTTCATTCTCTAAAGTTTTGATAACTCGAAAAAAAAAAACTTCAAACTTAGTGTTCATTGTTCTTCTTTTAGCCAAAATGGCTCATGAAAAGCAAGTGATAGAGGAAGTATCCGGCTGGCTTACAGTTTTCGAAGACGGTTCAGTAGACCGGACTTTGACCGGTCCACCGGAAGACAAATTCATGGCCGAGGCAGTCCCACCGCATGACGACTTCATCGACGGCGTTGCCGTCAAAGATGTAGTCGCCGACGAAAACTCCGGCAGCCGTCTTCGCATCTACTTACCTGAACGAAACGACAATTCCGTCAATAAGCTTCCCGTCATTCTTCACTTCCACGGCGGCGGCTTTTGTATCAGCCAAGCCGATTGGTTCATGTACTACACTGTCTACACGCGCCTAGCGCGAGTGGCCAACGCAATCATCATCTCCGTCTTCCTCCCCCTCGCGCCGGAGCACCGCCTCCCTGCCGCCTGCGATGCCGGTTTCGCCGCCCTCCTCTGGCTCCGGGAACTCTCCCGGCAGCAAGGACACGAGCCCTGGCTCAAC